GGCAAGAATGTCATGCTGTTGCCCGTGGGGTCCGCTGATGATGGCGCCCACTCCCAGAATGAAAAACTCAACAGGTGAGGCTCTGGATCCTCAGTCCTGAATCTGGGTTAGTTTCCTTGTGGATACCAGTGAGAAATCCTGTGAAAGCCAGGGCATCCCCTGCACCCCTTCCTCCTCCACACCTGCCCCTTTCCTGCTGCTAAGAGGTGATTTCTGGGACCCCCTCCCCCTGCGCTCTCTACCATCTGTCCTTGGTGGAGGGAACACTGGTGGGAGGTAGGGAAGGAAGCCTGTGGGAGGTGGCGGTTCTTCAGAACAAGTTTCGCCCAGTGGTCTGTTGATCTCTGTGCTTCCCCGGCGACTCCTGAAGGACCCCTGCACCTTCCTGGCTTATACAGACGTGATGGGTCTCTAACCACCAGAGACGGAAGTTGATCTCTGAGTTGGCAGCTGTGAGGAGAGACCCACGAAGGCAGGGAGACCTCAAAGGCAGTCAGGAAGAGCAGAGGAGGATAGGAAACAGGTGTCATCTTGGGGTCAGGGACTAAGAGGCAGAGGCCCTGCATGGAGGGTGGAAGGGAGGGACAGAGACCAAGGTCCTAGGACACCAGGTGGCGGCTTCGGATCCAAACAAACAACAGAGAGCCATGATCAAGGCAAGGCCTTTGGTAGTCGGGGGCTAGGTGAGATCCCATCTATTCGATGAGTCCAGGGCCAGGACCGGTCCCTGCTGGGACACTTGGGCTGAGCCTATATTTGAGAACCAGGTGCCCAAATTCTAAAGGCAAGCAGAACTCAGGGCCCGCACACCAGGACGGTGGGATGCTCCCAGAATGCCACATGCATGCCTGGACCTCGGGACACCAGCCAACGCCATGACTTGTTCCTCTCCATCAGGCACAACTACATAGAAGGAACCAAAATGCTGGCTGCGTACCTGTATGAAGTGTCTCAGCTGAAGAACTGAGAGACCCCGTGTCCCTGGAGCACCTCTGAAGGCACCCGCCCTCCACCTGCATCCTCTCTGATCGCTCCAGAAAGCAGCCTGTCTTCCTCCTCTCTTGTCACATCACACACAGACATCCAGGAATGGACATGGGAGCACCAACCTGTTCCTGAATGACATGGCCTACACCGGGCAGTTACACATGTTCAGTCCTGGGGTATCAGTGACCCCGAATGTCAGCTGAATTCTCCGAGATGCCCAGCATGGCTTGGTCTCCAGGACTCACAGCAAGAGTTCTTCTGTAGAAGGTTCTGGTTGACATCTAGTCAGACTAAACAGAGGCCTGCTGATCCTGGCCCCACCTCTGCCTCTGATTCAGGGTTGGGCACACGGAGTATCTAGGTGGGGCGTATGACGAGTGAGGGCCTCCCTTTCTGGTCCCTTGCTGTCCTGCAGTTCTGTCCTTTACTGAACACTGTAACCCTCCTGTCTTCTTGCTAACCCTCCAAACCTGAACCTAACTGGAAGGATCATGTGGTCTGTCTGTGCCGATGAATAAAAAGTACAAATGGAGCCTCTGGAAGCATCCCTGCCCCCTGACTTACCCAGGAGCACCCTGCGTGTGGAGGGTGGTGTGTTGTGGGGGCTTCAGGTGGGGGTGGGTCTTCTCTCCCAGGCCCCCAGGTGGAGTGGAGACTCATGGCCCCTCCATAGCTGTTAGGGAAGTGTCTATCCCCATCCCCGTGCCTTATGCTGCCTAGACACCAAAAATCAAGTCAGATTGGTTTAAACAAATGGAGTTTTATTGGCCCAGCTGGTAAAAAGCCCAGAGTAAATGGGAAACAGGGCTTAATTCATTTCAAAGTCTCTATAGTTTGTCCACATTGCTGACCATCTTCACTCAGATCAGAACTGGGATGTGAAACGGGGCTGCTATTTATTGAGCCCTCATACCTACACTGATGGGACAGAATGATGACATTAGAAGTCATTGATTTAGCCCAGCCCATGTGGCTCAGTGATTGAACGTTGACCCATGAACCAGGAGGTCATAGTTCGATTCCTGATTAAGACACATGCTCGGGTTGCGGACTCAGTCCCCAGTAGAGGGCGTGCAGAAGGCAGCTGATCGATGATTCTCTCTCATCGATATTTCTCTCTCTCCTTTCCTCTCTGAAGTCAATACAAATTATATATATATATATATATATATATATATATATATATATATATATATTTTTTTTTTTTTTTTTTTATAAAAAACTCATTGTTTTGGCCCCCATGCCCTCTCTGACACCTTCACTCCCGGGTCCTTCCCTGCCCTGGAGTCACCTCCACGGTGTCTTGAAGCCTATGTTCTGCATTCTCATCTTCCTAACCAGCCGTCCTTGTCCTCAGGGAGGCTTAGCCTGGGAGATGGTGCTCATCAGCAAAGTGCTGTGCACAGCAGAGGCCTTCCTGGGATTGTCTATCCCAAAGTTGTCCGGGATTGCTTCCCTGTTACTCCACCAGGAGCTGGCCATTGACAAAGATACAGCTGCCTGTTATTTAGAAAAAGGCAGAACTGCTGGGCCGAGGAGAGGACGGGCTGAGAGGAGGTTTCGGACCTAAGAGAAAGAAGTTCATCTGCTCTTGTTGGTGTCTGGGTCAGAAAGGTGATGATAGGCATGTGAGGATCCTTAAACCACAATGTGTTAACTAGTGAGGATATGGCTAGGCTATGGTGCCCGAACCAACCAGAGCTTCCCCCATTTCTCTGCTACATGGCCTCACAGCCAGGCCGGGGCTGGAGTGGGTGCTCCTGCCCTCAGTGTCATGGCCCATGACCTCTGCTCCACACCCTGCAACCCCACTGTAGTCCCACCCAGAGACCAGGAGGAGGCAATCCAGAATGAACTGATGTTTCTTCTTTTGGCATCTTACTCAGAAAGTGCTCCCAGAAGTGGGCAATGGGCCTGGCTGACATTCCTATCGCTCTGCAGGAGAAAGACATTAGGCAGTCAACCTTTAAGTCTGTTACACCAGGATGATACTATGACATTTGTCCCAAGGAAAACAGAAAAAATAAACAGTAGATAGCATTAGCTGAAGGAAGGACTCATGGGACTTCATTTATCACTTTTCAGAGAAAATTGTAACATCTGCGTCCACCTGAGGCTTTGGGGAACACCGTGAGTGGTGAGGGAGGCAGTATTAGTCTGAAATAGGCCTTTTTTGAAATCTTGGTTATTTTAAGCTGGTTATCTTCAAGTAATAAAAGACACAGGAAGAACCTTTGCCTTTGACCTTCCCCCTACCTGCCTGTAAGATTTAGACAGGAAGGGAGCTAGCATCATGGGCAACTACAGTTCACTATGAACTAGGTGTGATAGGAAGGAACCTGGCTAGCCCTTGACCAAAGTCCTCTCTGTGTTCCCTTGTTCAAGATGGCCCAGCAAACATTTACTTACCAAAGTTTTCTCTTCCATCTCCTTGTGAATTACTTTCCTGCCCTTGGAAGTTCCAAACCCACCCCTCCTCTTCTCCTTAGCTCTAGAGGGCACACAAGCCTGAACTGCCTGATTTATCCTCAGGTCTCATTCTTAGGAGACATCAGACATACCTAATAAATATGCTCATTTAGTCCAGCCCAAAGAACTTAGAAGGGTAAAAGGAAAATTAATTCTTCTGTCACTTTGGGACTGTCAGATGAGACCCTGGGCATCTGACATAGGTTGGCACATGGTGAGTAAGAGTTCTTCCTGTGTCAGCACCCCCAGAATCCCCAAAAGTGGGGTCCGTGGAGCGAGAGGGGTAAGAATCTTTTCTTCCCCTCTTTCTAAATTAGGATTAGCAGGAGAAAATTTTGTGAAAGTAGTTTCTTGAGCAAACATGGTTCTGGTAAAGGTTTGAATACTCTTGTTTTCTGCTGGTCCTGTTCCCCCTAGAATGGTCTGGTTTTCTTTGTCTATGCCATTTGTCTTGTTCTGTTTTAAGAGCTTGGTTTTGATCTTGTCTTTGGTCTCTGGTCTCAGAAGGTGCACATATCCACAGGCATTTGGCAGCCAGTCAAATAGACTAGAGCTTCCAGGCAGCTGTAGCCAATTAACTGTCATCTTTTTGCCTTTTTGTCCAACTGTGCCAGCTCTCCGGGGAATTGGTCATGAGGGATCCCAGTCCATAGGGGCCTTTGCCATCTCAACCTTCCTGTGTTACTGCTTGTAGCAGCAAAGGACTTTTACCCCCTTAGACTATCCTGGGAGTGAACCTTTAGTTCTTGTGGAAATGTCTTGCTTCCTTGGTTAAATCATAAAAGGCTAGGGGATTTGGAAGTTCACAGGCTGTTGGGGTTGAATTATATCCCCCCAAATTTGTATGTTGAAGTTCTGTCTCCCACCACCTCAGATTGATGATTTGGGCCCAACTCCAGGATGCCTGGTGTTCTTGTGAAAGGGGGAGTTTTGCACACAGATATGCTCAGAGGGAGATGCCATGTGAAATGAAGGCAGGAATCAGGGATGTATTTGAAGACAGCAAACCCAAGATTGCCAGTGACTGCCAGAAGCCAGGAAGGAGGCCAGGGACTGGCTCTCCCTCACTGCCCTCAGAGGAATAGGCCCTGAGGACACCCTGGTTTTGGACTTTTGGCCTCCAGAATGTGAGACAGAGGGTTTCTGCCCCACTTGTGGCAACCTGAGCAACCCAACACATGGCCAGTAACCCCAACCTAGCTGCTAGCAGGGCTCTGCCAACTGCTCAAGGTAACAGTGATCATTCACATCACCTCTATCTCAGCTGTGCTGGCCTGGGCCCATGCACCCACTCACTCTTAGGGTGACACCTGCACACATGCACAGTGATGCTTCTGGGTTGTGATGCACAGCCTGAGTGGCCCCGATGGCCTTCGGTAACATCAGATGACTTCCAGGTCACTACCTCATTGCATGCCTGTGCATAAGAGACTCATTGTTTCTCCTCCCCCAGATTGGCTGATCGCCTCTGAAGCATCTTTGTTTTCCAATGTGAATGGCCCACTATCCCAGCCTTGTCTTTCTTTGAGGCAGATGGTGGAGCACAGACAAGCATTTGCAACGCAGTATATAATGTGACTGCTGAGGGCCTTCGTGAGGTTTCCTCTTCCGCTCTTCATTGAGGTCCAAGAGAACTGCGAGAGGCTTCGGAAATCCTGCTCAATGGACCCCAAACTGGGAAGAATGGTGAGTGAGCCCTCAGGTGTTCGGAGAGCAGGGACCAGAGTGCTGGACGTGTATTTGCCCAAAGAGTGGGGGTAACACGCAGGAGCCAGGCAAACAGAGCAGGTGCTGCATGAGGTCCATGAGCTGCTGCTGCTTAGAAGTGCTCTCAGGTGCCACGTCTCTTCTGGGAAAGGAGCCGTGTAGAGGAGGTTTACGGTGCGCTCTGGGTGGCTACCTGTTCTTATAAACACGTGGCATTCTTTTCAAGTGGTTTCCTAGTGCTGGGACACAGTCATGCTAGGTGGATGGTGGCAGCCAGTGTGGACTCGAGGCCCAGGCAGCTTCTCTGGTGCACTGGGACCTTCCATAGCACACTTGTCTGTGCTCCGTTTTTCTTCACACAGAAAGCAATATTATTAGTAAAACTGTGGCAGAACCCCTAGCTGCTGAATACAAAGGGTGAGAGAATAGTATGCATGCAGGTACAATTGGTGCCTTTCTTACTAAACCCTGAACTCTGCTCCCCCACCCCAATCCCAAACATTAGTTTGGGGTGGGGCCTAGGAATCTGCATTTTAAGTGTATGATTGCATCACTTTTACCCCATTCACAGATGTGTGCAACCATCACCATGGTTGATTTTAGGGTATTTTCATCTCAGAAAGGAACCCTGTGCCCTTAGCTCTTCATCCCTGCCCCCAGCCCTGAGCGACCACTAATCTCCCTGTGCTTCATTTAATAAGAAGCATTCCCAGGGAAGCAAAAATAAACATTAATGATTAGAACAAACCTCAGACTCCATTTTTTAGTCTAGAGGACAGTCGGTCAAGATTTCTAGCCCTCACCAGGTAGTTCAGTTGGTTAGAATGTCATCCCGATACACCAAGGTTGTTGGTTTGGTCCTGGTCAGGGCACATACAAGAATCAACCAATGAATAGAACAACAAATGAATAGAACAGCATAAATGAGTAGAACAACAAATCCATCAATTTAAAACAAATATTTCTAGGTATTGGGCTTGAAGCATCTTTAGACAATGGCGTGAGGGTGATTTTGATGAATTTCCTGGTTTGTGGGTTCAATGACTCTGGGATGTCATGGGTGGACCAGTGAACGTCCAGAGTGGCCCTCACAGCAACAGGCACCAAATGTGACTGCTGAGGGCCACCGTGTACTGTTGTCCCTCCGTGACCCATTGCAGTGACACCTCTGGAGTTTATATCCAGTTGCCCAGCTTCAGTGTGGGCTTCAGGAAAAGGGGCAAGAGAAGATTGGTAACATTAGTGTGGAGAGTTGTAGCCAGACATTGGAGGAAGCTCGAAGACTCCAGGACCTAGTCTAGTTTACAGGCAGAGCACACCACCTCACAGACAGTGAGAGGGCTGAGATCCAATAGTGGTGCACTAGAGTTTTCAATATGGCCAAAGAACACATTCAGTCTCTGTAATGAGAAGCCAAAAGTAGATAAACTTATGTTTAGAAATTAATGTTTCAGTATTTTATCTTATCTAGAAATGATCTGAATATTTATCAAATATCCATCATTTAACTTAACTGAGTATAATTTTAAGGTTTCAAGTTACCAAAAATATTTTGAAACTAATTTTAAGCAGACATATTTTATGAAACATAATCATTGTTTGGGTGACTGACTGGTGCGGGGAGGGGGCTCCTGGAGACGTCACCGGTAGACACGAGATGGTATGTGCCCGGCCTCAGTCCTCTGACCCTGTCTGGGCACCCAGACTGTAAGTGGGGTATCTTCATTTGGAGGCAGGTCAGGGAAATGCTGGAGCAGGACCTTAAGGACAACCCTACTCTACTCCTGCCTTAGTCCTATGCACAGGATATAGGTCACCCCTACACACCAGGATGCCAGCACCTCTGTCCCCAAGCACCTCTCCCTGCTGGCCCACAATGCCTCAGTGTCCACCCTCTCAATCGCTCTTTCAGGCAATTACAATCCGCCCCATTCAGAAGCTCTTTGGTTGGGACAGAGGTGCCTTTTGGGAGGCATGGCACTGACAGGGAGCACATGCAGCTCCCAGCAGCAGCACAGGAAGCTGGGGGACTGTCCCCATGGACCCCCAAAGAGTGGGATCCAGAACATCCAGAGGGATTAGGGATTTGAAAAAGGAGAAGAGAAGGGAGGGATGAGCAGAGCTGGAGCTTCTGAAGATTGTGGGAGGGGGGAGCCCTGCATGGCCAGGAGCCCCTGTTCTAATAGGTATCAGCCTTCAGTTTGCCTGGGGCATCCTGTTCTCTCACAGCACACTCTGCCCTGCAGGTGCGCTGCCGGCGCCCAGCGCCCCTGCCCGCCTCGAACCTGGGTCCGCACCCTGAGCTCACCCTGCTGGGCCGCAGTTATCCATCAGTCCTATGTCCTGGTCCTGGAGCCTGAGGATTTCTGGGACCTGGGCCTCTATGCCTGCTAAGGTATACTGGCAGGACACACACACTTTTAAGGGAGATTTTCTCCTCTTTAAGCAATCCTGCTTCCCCTCGTTTTGGGAAAGTGTGTGGACACACACACACACACACACACACACACCTAAGCTTGTACACTGCAGCTGGCTCCGGCCCAGCTGGGGACTTTGCCTCCCAGAAGCCCAGAAGGGAGGTCACTGCAGGGACTTCAGATCAACGCTCAGGAGTTCACTCTTAAACCTCCCATCCACTTCCATCAGCACAAGTACACATACTTTAAATGTCTAATTAAAAAGACATAGACTCAAAAACGTAATAAATATCTCTACTGGACAAAAGCAAAACAAAAACATTCAATGGTGAGTGAGATGGGGGCGGGGCAGAAGCATCTAGAAATGAGGCTGCCACAGGGTCACAGGGACCCAGCACAGAGGGCAGTGGAGCCGGCACCACTGCCGGAACCAGGACTGGCTGGGTCTCCCTGCGGGTGACAGCTGGGCGCCCACAGCATTTCTCCACAGAAATAATGACCGAGCGGCAGAGAATACAACTGGTGTTCAGGCGGAGCCTGCAAGTTACTAGTAAAAGTATACGTTAGTCTAATAATATCAGACTAGCAATAAGAAAGCTCACAATGTTAATTGGGAAGTGAGTTACTGCCACTGAAATGCAAACAGTAGAACATGTTTAAATGGATGTGAATGAAATATGTTTACAACCTTCACGGGATAAATGAAGGACTAAGACCATAGAGAAGAGGCAGGCAGATGTGAGTGGAGAATAGGTGGACATGGAACACAACCAATTAGAAATCCTGAAAATGAAAAATCGTTATTGAGAAACTCAGTAGTTCATGTGCATTCTAGACCAGCCACAATCAAAAAGAGAATGAATCAGCTGGAAAACATGACTGAGGAATTTAGCCAGAAAGCAGAGAAAAAATGGACAGAAAAGATCAGAGAATGGAAGGATACATGATAGATCAAAAGATTCCAACTGTAGTAGGAGGTCTACAAAAAGAAAAAAAGTGTAATGGTGGAGAAGTGACATCAGAAGAGAGAATGACTAAGAATTTCACAGAATAAACAAACACAAATGAAAATGGGTGCTGAACACTGAGTATATCAGTCAGACCCATTGTGACAAAGCGGAGAGCATCAAGGAATAAGAAAATAGGGAAGAGGGTAGTGAACAGCTAGCCAGGGAATGTGTGGGATTGGGGAGGGGGGTGCAGAGAGGCTGCTGGGCTTTGCTGATGAAGGACTTGGGGGCTGGGAGGCTCTGGGTGGTGGAGAGAAGCAAGGACTCCAGGCAGGCAGGACAATGAACAAAGCCCCAGTGGTGTTGTCAGGAAGCTGGAGCCTCCTGAGACTGCTAGGAGGAAGAATCATCTGACTCAGTTAAATTTTGGGTGTTTTTTTTTTTCCCCTTATTCGTGTTTACAGCTTAGATAGTTTTGTTTGTCAACACATTTTGCATTTTCTGCACTATGTTGAAATAGAAGGCGTTTCTCTGGTGAACATTAGCTACTCCTGGTGTCTCCTCCAAGACTGTGCACTTAGCAAACACCAATTGGGGTTTTAGTCTAGGCCAGTGGTCAGCAAACTGCGGCCCCTTGAGTGTGGCTCTTCCACAAAATACCACGTGCGGGTGTGCACGTACAGTGTGATTGAAACTTCATAGCCACACTCGGGCCAAAGAGCCGCATGTGGCTCGAGAGCCGCAGTTTGCCAACCACTGGGAAGGCAACTCTCAGGACATGGGAATATGGAGAACACGGCCTAGCCATGATCCAGCTTAAGTTCAAGTGAGTGAGGCAGAGAATATTAAGTAATAGAATATTAGTAACGACAAGAAAATAAAGAGCAGGTTGTGCTGGGGGAATGATGCCCCAAAATACATGTCCACATGGAGCCTCGGAATTAGTTAAAATGAGGTTGTACTGGATTGGAGTACTCCATAATCCAGAAACTGGTGGTGACCTTCTAAGAAGAAGAGAGGACACAGGGACACACACAGGAGTAGGCCGGGTGAACCGGGGCACAGCTCCGGGCCACGGAGCACCCAGGACCACCGGCCACCACCAGAAGGTGGGAGGGAGCTGGACCAGCCCGCACAACTCTGCCCACCAATTCCTCTCTGACTGTCCTCTCCCTGCCACCCCTCCTCTGTCCCATGTCTCCAGGTCCTCTGCCGCTCAGTTCCCGTTGCCTTGCCCCTCCCCCCACTCTCCATGGCCTCTCTGTTGTTTTGCCACCTGATTTTACCTGTTGTCCCCAAGATCACTCAGCCACCCCTGCAGGCATCTTAGGTTTATCCTGCTAACACTTTTACACCCAAATCACACAAATGAGATTTAAAAGAAGGAAGCAAAGGCAGTGTCTGTGGCCCAAGCACGGTTAGAAGACCTTGAGCTGGCCCTGGGTCTTGACTCCAGGGTCTGCACCCCATCTATAGTTTGGGGTTCACACCTCTCACCCCTCAAAAGGGAAGGGTGTGCCCTGTCCCAGGCTCAGAGCCAAAGACAACGCAGGCCTTGGAGGAGCTCAGGGTTCAGCTCAGTGGTGACACCTCTCTATGTGACTTCACCGCA